CCGATATTGGGAGCTCAAGATATACCCAGATTAATTAAGACAGTGCAGGCTGGAAATAAGTACGGGATTTACACCAAATGAAGAGCCATGTTTACACCTGATGCATTTCCTCCTTCATGGATCCATTTACGGCGTGTACAATCATACGAGGAGGCTAAACGACTTGTTCACATTCAAGGGAGATGGATGCATTATTTTCAAACTCATTCACCAAATCCAAGTGCATAAGGGAGCCTATGAGTCATGTTCACACTTGGTGCATGCATTCCAAAGGGGGCCGAACATACAATGAAACATTCCTCAAAATTCATGCAAGGGAATGAACCAACATCTTCACATCAAGAGAGGATGAATTTGGCTATGAAGATGTATTCACTTAAATGGATGAACATTTATTTATCTTATTAGTCCATGAACTTGCATAGGGGGCTTACATTGTATCTACTTAAAGATGAACATTCATCCATGAATGTTGAATCATTAAATCTTGTATGTGCATCCTAGACATCTCTTAGGCCTATAAATAGCTTTCCATTTCATTTGTAAAGAAAATTCATTTTGTTTAATCAAATATTTGTGAGAGTTTCTCTCTTTAGTTCTTAAGTGAACTTTATCGACTTATCAAGCTTATGCTTGTGGCGTCACCCCTATCTATGTCACCCGGATACTTCTGGTTCCTATATCTTTCTAGATAGTGGGTCAAAGTACTTGTTTACCATCCCTTAAAGAAGTAATATAAAGTTTGGGTCTTTGTTCTTTAACATTGGTTCTTCTTTGAGTATTCTTTGAGATACTACTTTTCATATTCATCTCCATCACCTTCATTCTACTTCCATTACCATACTTCATCATTTCCTTGAAACATATCACCAACTTATATATATATTTTCCGCTGCCATATTTATCTTTCCATTTCATTACTTTCATTTAACCATTTTTTTTTAGCTTTCTTGTTTGTGCAGGATACTTGTTGCTTTCCTAGATCGAAACAATCAAAGGTACAACCTTGACTTCACCATCCATCCAAGTGAGGCTAGGTTAAACTATATCATATGGTAATCAGAGCTAATGTGGATTGCAACAAGAACATGCAAAAGCAACATCCTACCATTCAATAAAAAGAAAATCAAAAAGAGAAGTGCCAAAAGAAAAAAATCAGCAAGTTAATCCCAACATCAACAAGGGATTCCAAGTGAAGAAAAACTAAAGAAAGGAAACAAAGAAATAAAAATGCAAAGAAGTGCCAAAGGTGACAAGCAACATCATTATTTCAACCGATCCTAAGGAAGTCTTCAAGACCTTTGATTGTTCTTCTAGGAAGGTGGTGAGTATCTTTACACAGTAAGTGAACCTTTCTTTCTTTTTCTTCCTATTATAAGGCCACCCTTCATTATTTAATCTTTCTACCTTTCTATTTTTTCCTCTACATTAACAAAATTTTCAGCCGACGTCCATAGCACTTGAAAGGTCTCGAGTTAGTTCTTTTAAGAACTTTACAAGAGAGGAACGAGTGAAAAAAGGCTAATTGAGTGTGTGAGATCAGAAGGGGAATTACAAAAGCCAAAGACATATTCCCAAGTGAAACACGAGTGCTTGAGTGGAGTGACATCACAATGTTTTTTTTGGAGTGACCATGAGGTTTTGCTGTGTGAAATTTGGTAAGGTCCTAATTTTCACATTTCAAAGTTTTACTAACAATGTTATTTGATCTTTCCTCTTCCCAAGAAATGGAGAACATTCAACAAAGAGAGAATGCATTTCATACTCGTTGCCATGTAAACAGTAAAGATGGCAAAGTATGTCTTGTAGCCATTGATAGTGGAAGTTGTACAAACATTGCAAGCACATACATGGTCAAGAAGGGACTTACAACATTCAAACATCCCTGCCCATACGTTTTGCAAGGATTAAATGAAGATGAAGAGTTTGAAGTCATAGAGCAAGTACTTGTGCCCTTTTCAATTGGGAGATATGAAGATGAAGTCTTTTGTGATGTTGTCTCCATTAATTCAAGCCATCTTCTTTTCGGTCGACCTTGGCAGTTTGATAAACAAGCATTGTATGATGGGTTCTCCAATAAGTATTCATTCAAACACCAAGGGAGAAAGATCACGTTGGTTCCAATGTGCCCAAATCAAGTCCATGAATGCCAAAAGACCCTTAAGTCACGTATAGAGGAATGAGAGAAAACTAAAGCCATGAAGAAAGTTGAAAGAGAAGTTTTACATGAAAAACAAATAAGAGTGGAGAGAGTTGAACATACACAAATCAAAGAAGAAAATCGTGAGAAAACCAAGACATTTGGAGTTGAAAATGAGAGTTTGATTTTGCGTGAGAAATCCATTGGGGTAATTGAAAATGAGAGTAAGAGCATTGACAGTGAAGATAAGTTTGTTGTAAAACATGAGAGTGAGATTGAAGAGAGAATTCAAAACAAACATGAGCATGAGAGAAAAGAATGTGAGGAGAAGGAAGTTTTACTTTATACTAATCAATCTTTTCTTCCTATTCTTTCATTTGATTTGCAGGTTATTCCAAAGGCCATACCATTGCAAATTGATGAATCACATTTGGCCATTGAAGTTCCAAAGGTTATAATATTTGGTATTCCAAAGCATGTGCTCTTTGACATTCGAAGTACATTCACTTCATATTCAAGATCCAATGAACCTTATGAAAGGGAAGTTTCAACAAACCAAATTCCATTCATGAACCTTAATAAATCTTGTACGTTCATTCACATTGTTAATGATGTTTCATGTTCTAACTTGTTTCTTTTTTGCAACACATTGAATCATTTTTGTGCAAGTGTCCTTGATTGTGATCATCAATTCAAGGAAAATAAACGAGCATTATCCAACTATTCAAGATTCATAATGTGGAAGGGTACAAAGACTAAAGATGGCATGACTTACCTACTTGAAGGATTCAAATAAATTCATGCATACCCTAATAGGCATAATGATCTTCATTCATCCTTTCTTACACCAATGGATCAATCAATGGAAAAAGCCTTCGATTTGAGGACAAATCGCTCTAAAGAAGGGGGGGATGATGCAATCATGCCAATGACCAAACTTCTTCAACACATGATCACTTCATGGACCTTCTACCTTGTTGATTCTAAGGGAGTCTTACCTTATTTTATTATTTATTTACTCATTTATGCATTACATGTCATGCAAATATGTTTATCTTATTCTTAATTTTGTTTGAATATTATATTCTGACATTTATATGTATAATATATGATATTCATTCATGACTTATTAATTCACATCTTTATATAACTCATTCAATGCATATGCATTCATAGTTAGCTCATTTGCATTATTAACATAGGTGGAAGCATGCATTCATAATTATCATAGTTCAATTCCTATCTAATTATTTGTTTACAAACTTTGTCTAGGTACATTGGATGCTAAGAAGACTAAAGGCAATTGAAGAGTTGGTTGGACAGATTCACGTCACTCATAGAGATCGCAATTTTTGAACATGTTCCAAGCATCTTTGGGTGATGAAGTCTTCTTAACATTTAATTCCCTACCTATTATATTTCCAACTCACTTTGAATCATATCAATCCGATATTGGGAGCTCAAGATATACCCAGATTAATTAAGACAGTGCAGGCTGGAAATAAGTACGGGATTTACACCAAATGAAGAGCCATGTTCACACCTGATGCATTTCCACCTTCATGAATCTATTTATGGCGTGTACAATCATACAAGGAGGCTAAAGGACTTGTTCACATTCAAGGGAGATGGATGCATTATTTTCAAACTCATTCACCAAATCCAAGTGCATGAAGGGAGCCTATGAGTCACGTTCACACTTGGTGCATGCTTTCCAAAGGGGGCCGAACATACAATGAAACATTCCTCCAAATTCATGGAAGGGAATGAACTAATATCTTCACATCAAGAGAGGATGAATTTGGCTATGAAGATGTATTCACTTAAATGGATGAACATTCATTTATCTTATTAGTCCATGAACTTGCATAGTGGGCTTACAATGTATCTACTTAAGGATGAACATTCATCCATGAATGTTAAATCATTAAATCTTGAATGTGCATCCTAGACATATCTTAGGCCTATAAATAGCTTTCCATTTCATTTGTAAAGAAAATTCATTTTGTTTAATCAAATATTTGTGAGAGTTTCTCTCTTTAGTTCTTAAGTGAACTTTATCGACTTATCAAGCTTATGCTTGTGGCGTCACCCCTATCTATGTCACCCTGATACTTCTGGTTCGTATCTCTTTATAGATAGTGGGTCAAAGTCCTTATTTACCATCCCTTAAAGAAGCAATATAAAGTCTGGGTCTTTGTTCTTTAACATTGGTTCTTCTTTGAGTCTTCTTTGAGATACTACTTTTCATATTCATCTCCATCACCTTCATTCTACTTCCATTACCATACTTCATCATTTACTTGAAACATATCACCAACTTATATATATTTTCCGCTGCCATATTTATCTTTCCATTTCATTACTTTCATTTAACCATTTTTTTAGCTTTCTTGTTTGTGCAGGATACTTGTTGCTTTCCTAGATCGAAACAATCAAAGGTACAACCTTAACTTCACCATCCATCCAAGTGAGGCTAGGTTGAACTGTATCATCGGGTCTAGGGGTATATTTAGTGGTATCAGAGCTTTTGGTTTTAAAACCTCGGACTGTGAATGAGTCCAAATTGAAAATATGATTTTGAAATGTTTTACAAAATAAGTCAGTAAGGTCATGTCACAATTCTTTTATGATTTTAATTGTGTTCGAGACTCCAAGTGCCTATCTAATCCTAGGTTTAATCTTCTGTTATAAACTTGAGATCCACCGAGATGAGTACTAGACGTGGTCATCGAACTAGCTGTGGTCTCGATAGAGTGGCTAGATTTGCAGACCTTGTAGATGAGATACGTATAGATCCGTAATCTCCAATATATGATCCTGCTCCTACGACCTCGAGCCTTCTACCTCTGATATTGGCATGACTGCTCCGATAAGAGGAGCTACTGGTATTGAGCCCGAGTCTACCAGAGTTGTATTAGATGAGAATTTTGGTAGACAATTTCTTCAGATGATTCAGGGAGCTGTCAGAACTGCTGGCATTATACCCGAGGTTCCTATCTCTCAGACCCTTATTGCAAATGGAGTCAGAACGTATAGTGGCCTTACTGGTGGAGATCCGACTGAGGCTGAGGATTGGCTTAGTGATATTGAGCGACGTATAGATCATTTAGGTTTAGATCTGCATCGACGTTATTTAGGAGCAATTTCTATGTTGGATGGGAATGCTCACATCTGGTGGGAGTCAGTGGTTATTAGTGTTCAGACCGATCGTTTGACTTGGGATTTCTTTAGAGAGTGCTTTAGGAGCCATTTCTTGGGAGAGCGTTATTTAACTCAGAGACGACAGCAGTTTCAGGACCTGATTCAGGGAGATATGATCGTTTCTGAGTATGAGATTGAGTTTTTGAAATTATTGAAGTATGGATTTAGGTTAGTACCAACCGAGAGAGATAGATGTCGAAAGTTTGCTCAGGGACTTCGATTTTAGTTGCGACGTCAGGTAGTTACTCATTAGGATGAGGTATTCGATGTTGTAGTTGGGAGAGCAAATGACACGGAGGAAGTCAAGGCTTATGTACCTGACAATGATAGAGTATGTCTAGAACGATCTAGGAAGCCTTCCGATCAGTTTGCACCTTTTTCAAGCCCTGATAAAAGATCTCTTATTGTTCCTCATCAGATGAGTCGGTCTGATTCGAGGCCTGCATCTCCTCCACATACTATAGCTAGTCGAGAGGATTCTTCATATTCCACTCCAAAATTGAGTTGTAAGTTCTGTGGAAATCAACACGGAGGAGAGTGTCATAAGAAGATGGGTACCTGTTTTTGTTGTGGATCTAGCAAGCACTTCTTGAGAAATTGTCCATATCCTGCTCCTGTTGATCAGACACCTGTTCAGACTCCTATACATTCTCAAACCTCTGTTCAGACTCCATATATGAGTCATAGTCAGGGTAGGACTTTCGGATCTATTTCTAGGGTTGACAATAGAGCTCTATCATAGAGTAGAGGACCAGATGCTTCTAAGGCTCAACAACCTATTCTTGTTTATACTGCCCGAAGTTCCGGTGATCGATTTGAGACCGATACTTCTACAGGTATATTTATTGTTAATTCTGTTTCATACTATACATTTCTATCAACACCCAATTCTATACCCGATTTTAGTAACAGAAGACCCTAAGACTTTGGATTAAGGCACTGAGACCCTATTTTCGCTCTGAGTCTATTAAGATATTCTGATATTATCAAATGAGCTTGTCCACTAAATGATCTATCAGAGACTTAATCTCAGTGTTTTATTCGATTCTAATGAATTTCGAGGACGAAATTTCTTTTAGAGGGGGAGAATTGTCATACCCCATATTTGCCACCCACAAAAAAATTAAATAATATATTATAGCACTAGGAATAAATAAAAGGCACTAGGATTTAATTAATGGGCACTACAAATATAATAATATAGTGGAAGACAATGTCATGACCACTATGACATGTTTTGTTTTTTTTAGAAACATTAATTAGTGGATTCATTTTATATTTTGGGTGATAACCCATTTTACCTGCAAAACCCCTCCCCGTGCAGTGAACCCAAACTAAATTTTTCATAAACTCATTTTTCCTCATTTAAACTAGCTTCTGCCCCTCCTCCTCCTCCTTGTTCTGGCCAGCAGTGAACAGCACCGCCACCTCTATCAGGTGCTCCTGACCCACAAGAAGTGATCCCGACCAATCTCGCTCCGAAATCGATCACAGTTAGGCCGAACCGAGAAGGGAAATAGACACCCAAAAACATGATCGTCTTTTTAATTTTGTCGATTCCGGCCACACCAACAACCGTCTTGTTTCGTCTATCCGCCATAGGTAAAGTCAAATCATTTAATTTTGATAATATTTCAGTGTTTTAGCCTGAAAAAATATGTTATAGCTGGTGTTGGTTTGGATTGCTGATAAATAGTTTGAAAAGAGTGACTAATATGTAATTAATTTCGGATATGGTGGTATTTTCGTAAATATTGTTAAGATGGTGTTAGTTTCGTAAATATTATTAAACAAGTGATATTTTGGTAATTATTTAAAAAAAAGTGATATTTTGGTAATTATTTCAAAAAAGTGATATTTGGTAATTATTAGGAAAAGGTGATATTTTGGTAATTATTTCAGAAAAGGTGATATTTTCGTAATTAAAAAAATGTTATTTTTGTATTTGTTGACTGTGGACTTTTGAGCACTTTTGCCCATAACTTTGACCGGCTTTAAACGGCCATTAAACGACATTTGATTTTGTTCGAGTATACATATTCTGACATTTTTCGACGTCCCAAATCCGTTTCCGAAGTCCGTTTCTCCAAATTTGAACCCAAAGACCTCCAAATCGTCAGTCACACCCGTTGACTTTGACTTTGACCAAGAATTCGAATTTTCAAAAAGTCATATTTTATGTTTTTCGATATACTGATTCCGATTCCGCAATCGGTTTAGTCAAATTTAGACGTGAAAGCCTCCGAATTAGCCCATAAACCTGAAAAAAAAATCATATTTATCTAAGTGTTTTAATTTAGTTAATTGAACAGAATGGTGAAGGACTAATTATAGTTATGTTAAAGGTACTCGGGGATCTCCAGACTGTTTCACTACTCGACTCGGTTCCTTCCGATCTGCTCATCCACAAGAAGCTGTGAATACTCGTATATTTCTAAAACCTTGTTAGTTATTATGTTTAGAATATTATTCCAAATATAACCCTGTTCTGATATGACTTAGATTCCCGTTCAGTTGAAGAGCCTAGTGAAGCTGGTACTCGATAGATTTTTCTGGACTGATCCTGTTATCGAGGTGTGTTCCTTATGTGCATAATATATGTTTTAAACATCTGTTTGAAATCTCATGTGCACATGATTGTTTTCTATGATTTGAAATATAATGTTTGATATGATTTGTCTACTGAATGATTTATCTGATTCTAGATTTACTGGAATGAAAAGTATGATTGCCCGATTTCTGAACACTGGATTACTGAACTGATAATCTATCTGAACTCTGAATTACTGTTACTACTGGTTACCATCTGAAAAATGTTTTCTACGGGATACTCTGGGTTCTGGTATGAAGACTCTGGCAGGTTCAATCGTTGTTGGTAATTCCTCCGATAGGTTCGGCACCGATTGGTAATTCCTTATTGACCTAAGTCGAGCCTTGGGTAAGCTCTGCGGCCCTGAGATTTTCTTGGGTAAGCCTTTGTGGCCCCGGGAATTATCTTGGGTAGGCTCGCAGGCCCCAAGGTACTCCTTTAGGTTGTGCATTTATGGGGATCTGCACATGGCGTTCGGTTGGAGGACGATGCAGAGTTTTTAAATTAAAAACTCCTATGATGTTTTAATGATTGTGATCTGCATTGGTTTTGAAAATCATAATTGTATGTTTTTATTTCTGCACTGTTGGGACACACTAAGCCTCTAGCTCACTTTTCAAATTGTTTTACCCCTTTCAGATACATTCGGATAGACACTCTATATCAGGCACTTGGAGGATTGATACATTTAGTTCAGGGTGTTTTATTGTAATATTCAGTTTCCTGAACTATTTTTAATTATGGTGACATGTACCTTATTTCTGAAGTGTTTATCGTTTTATGACGTTTTCTGCTGTTGCTATTGATATTTGATTTTTGATGCTCCAGATTTATTTTATGTAATATTTTACCTGGTATCTTTCATGTTTTATATTTACGAATATAGTTTTTATCGTTAATTATAATATACTTTTATATAAAGATAATTTGTAACATGATTTTAAATTATCGAATAATGTTTTTGGAAAAATGTCTTTCAGAATCTTTAATGTAATCTGCTAGACTTAATCGAAACGCATAGGCCGAGTCTAGGGTGTTACATACATCATAATCCAAGCTTAAAACTTGAAAACCTAACATCCCATTCATCCATATAATTCAAAAACTTAGTGTTTCAAGCTTGGAAATCATGAACAAATAGTACCAAATGATAGAGATTTCATGTAGAATAATTTCGTAATTCATGCTTTCATTCAAAATCCTAATAATTTGGCTTGAAATTTGAAAAGAAAATATTTCTTGCCTCCATGGGGAACTCACGACAATGGATGATATGAAAAGGAAATGTCTTGAATTTTCTTTTTATTTAATTAAGGCCATTTGTCATTTTACAAGGTAAAATGAATTTTTAATTCATTTTAATGCCAAATGATCATTTTGTTCTCATAATCCATGTTTATTATCTTGCCACATTTTCATTTTGTTCATCCTAACGTCAAATATGAACCAAATAATTCATGACTTCTGACTTTGCCCTTAAAGTTTTCCCGAAATTATAATCTCACCATTTTAATCCAATGGTCCCGATTAAACATGAAAATTCAACTAAAATCCAATGGCCAATGTTAAATATTTATAATTTAAAACATGGAAATGACATTATCAACCTTTCCATATCATCCTTCATAATATCTAAAAAATCTGATTCGATCCGGTTATTTGAATTTTACTAAACTTTATCGTTTTATAGCTTTTAATACAAACTCCATATGAAAAATCCGAGTGACACAAAAACATCATTCTTGGGTGGTAAACTATTCATATGGGATAAAATTTCTTTTTGGGAAAATTATAATTTTAGTCCCTAAACTTTTCCTAAATTTTCACTTTGGCCACTAAACTTTTAAAATTTTCATTTTGGTTACTAGTCAAAATTTTGGGGTATTACATGTACATCAAGCTATTAGAGGATGAGAAGTAACTTCACTAAATGTTAAGCCTTTACAACCTCCATATCCAAATTGGTATAACATTAATGTTCATTGTGAATATCATGCCAGATTTCAAGGATATTCTATCCAAAATTGAATTACCTTTAAACACCAAGTTTAGTTCCTTTTAAAGCATGAAGTATTGGAGTTTGAGATGAAAGTTCAACCTAGTTTGGTAACTAATTATCCAAATAAGATGGAGCCAAGAGTGTTCAAGGATAAGGGTACAAATGAGGGCACCCAAGAGGAAGAGTGTCTACTAAAGTACAAAGCCAAAGTACGACAATTAAAGAATGAAAAGAATAATATTAATAAAGAGATGGAAGACATGCATGATGGCTTTCAAATTAATCAATCAAGCCTTTAAAAATGTTTGTTTAGGTGATGTTCCAGAAGAATGGAAAAAATAAGTTACTAAATTGAAGAATAAAGATGACCAATGGGGAAAGAATTGTAAAGGGCATGAAAATTATGCTAAGAAGTTATGTCGTGAGCTACAGATTACAAAAAGGTAACACAATACAACCATTAATTATTTGGTAAGATGTCAAGCAAAAAATGAGATATTGAGTATATCCATAGATAATGTAGTAGCTTTATATCAAAACCACAAGTGAGAGAATGATGATGAATTAAAAGTTAATAGAGCAAAGAACAAGACATTGAAAAAGCTTGTAGATGAATATAGAAATTTTGTATGAGAACTTTATAACCACAATGAGTCTCTTACAAGGGAAAATGAACAATATTGTCTATAGCTTCGAGAGTTGAAACATAATATAGAGGAAAAAGATAATGTCATAGTAAGTGAATTGGCTCACAAAATGGTTAACTTAGCTGGTGTTGCAAGAGAATTGAACAAGACTGACAACTCAGCACCATTTCATGATTGAAAGTTAACTTGGCATTTGAAAGATATAAAGAAGGTATGAGTTAAAGATTTTCCCTATATGTAAAATTTTGTTATTTGATGTACTATAACCTTTATGTTCAATCAAAATTATTTTAAAATGTTCACTCTAGAACAAAACCTTTTTGCATACATGTAATTGCATTGCATTTATTTATTTAGGCATTTTACATGTATTAATTACAAAAAAAATATAAATCATTTGTGAAGGGATATATTATAGTAATACTAAGATCATCCTATCATATACTACTCCATCACAATCATGGATAAGATGTGCAAGTTGTAGAGCGGCCTCAAGATGATATACG